AGACAGGAAAGGATTATGAATTTTTAGGATGAACCACATCTGGAAGCCAGCGACTGAATCTTGCAGCCCACTATTTTAGCCTGGGTGGATCAATTTCTCCAAGCGACTGTAAATGGTGGGATTAAACAGGTGGAGTCCCAAGGAAGGACCTACTTGTTCTGTACCCTAATGTTTTACTTGGAGTTTCTGCTTCCCAGCAAGTCGATTCTACTTGGTAGGGGAGGAAAGCTCTGGGTCTGCTCTTTGGGTTTAAATCTAGTCAAATTCTGTAGTATTTCAATTTTACAGGCAGTCACATTGCATGTGCAGGCAATACAAAAGTAGGGAACAAAGAAAGAGAGATTTGTGGGTAGTGGATCTTAGGAGACAAGAGTGCAGTGACTTTTGAGGATGCAGGCAAGTCTCCTTTCCATAATGAAAGTGAAATGAAATATTGGGTTGTGGAAAACTCATGACTTTTTTTCTGTTTTTCTATGTAAAAATGCGTCATGACTTTTCCTATAACTCAATGCATGCCATTTACACTGCCAGAAGTAACTGGGTCTATTGGGTCCTTTAGTCAAGGCAAATACAACAAGCTTTTTGTTTGTTTGCTTGTTTAAGAGAGATTTTTGCCATAGAGCACCTGTGCTTGCCAGAGAGACAGAGAGAGGCAGAGAAACAGAAAGAAAAAAAATCAGCCCCCAAGGGGGATGGCCACACTGCAGTTCCTTCTTCCATTGTCCTCTTGGGGTCTTGGGCACACACACAAGCCTGGTGTCAGTTTTAAGTTGCCGGGTCTGGGACTCAAACCATGGTTGACTACATGGGTGTCTAGCGACATAACCATTACACCATCTGTTGGTCCCAGCAACTCTGTCTTAACGTCATCATGTTTGGGTCTTTTAAACACAGAAAGATTAAAACCATCAGGTTGTTTTAGATCAAAAGGCCAATAATACAGAAGTTCTTTAACTGAAGTAGAGATGGAAGGACTCACTTCTTTCCCTGTTCTGATCACCTGCTAGCATTCTTCAAAACCCCCAGCCAGTCCCCATTGCCTCTTGGCATCCCAGCGGTTGGGCTGATTCTGTCAGCCTTTGGGGCAGCAGGGGCTTTTTAGTTATGAAGGTGAGTCAGGAGGACTTTTTGGCCTAGAACTGCACATTCAGGGAGAGCCCAGATTTTAACATTTCTTGTTATCTGTGATGGAGGTAATGTGCTTTGCTTGCATATTAAAAGTTTTTATTAGGTAATGTAAACATTTAAAAGTAGCCACAGGTTTTTGTAACTTTGTTTTGGCCTTTCCTTTCTTTCTTAATGTACTGTAGGAGCCTAAGGGGGAAAAAAAAAGACGGAGACCCAAAGTGCTACACACAGAATCATAGATGATAATGAGGAGAACATGTTTTTAATAAATCACATGAAAAATTCATTGCAGTGAGGGCTGGGTGCCTTGAGAAGGTGTAGCAATGAGCAGCTGTCCCCAGTCTGGGTCACCAGGGAGGATTTCCCCAAGCAGATGAAATTGAAGGGGCCAAGGAAAGTTAGCCAAGTTTGGGGCAGAGGAGAGTTATTAGGCAGCAGAGGGGAGAATCTCGATAATTGATTTGTTTTAGAGAAATAGCTGGACTCTACAATAGTTTTTATATTTTGGGTCTAGGCAAGTGGGTATTCTCAACCAAATGAGTAACTAGGAGCAAAAGTATTTTCTATCAGTGGGTGGGTAGATAAGATGGTTAGTACAATTTAGAGGTATGTTGAGTGTGAGTGGTCTTTGAGACATCATCGTAGAGATGTTTTGAAAATATATGATTTTGCTGTAAGAAGAGCTTAGTTGCCCATGCTAATTTAGAACTTCATGGCATACAAGGTATTATCCAGGTCAAAAGGGAGTAGAAAGAAGAATAAATTTATGGTCCCTGCTTTTAAAGAATTTATTCTCTAATTGCAATCAGGAGTAAAATAACCATGGAGGATGCTAGTAACTCTCTAATACAATAATAGGAGAAATGTTATAAGCAGTATATGAATGATGACAAATGAATTGTATAGATGCTTCTCACTTTTCTGTAGTTGGTGTCCAAATAGAATTGTTCTTTTTGTTTTACTTTTGTCTAATTCTGGTAGATTGAGGTGAGTTGAGGATTGCATGAAGTTATTTAATTCTATGAATTTTTTGCTTTGAGTAACTCATTTTAATTTGATGACATAGTAATGTTATTTGTCTCATTATACAGAAAAGGAAATGGAGGCACGGAGAGAGTAAATAACTTGTCCCAAAATCACATAGCTAGTGATAGTTGCCCCCAGATCACATAGTGATAGTGTTCAGACCTAGTCTGAATTCAAAGCCCCTTCCCTTCATATATTTGTCTGTTCTTTTCACTAAATATATCCTCTATCATTTAAGTTACTTTAAAATATTTTTAAAAGAAGGTCATTTATTTAATTATTGCCCTAATTTTTATGTATAATTTTCTAATAATTATTTTATTTAACTTTATTTATTTATTTTAATTTTTGAACAGAAAAGGGCAGAGCAAGAGAGAAAGAGGGAAAGTGAGGAAACAAGCTACGAGGTCTGGGACTCAAACCAGAGCTGGCCATGTGGGAGTCCAGTGCCTTTAACCACCATGTCACCTGTCTGCCCCAGTATACATTATTTTTTAATTTGAAACTTGTATTTCCATTTATGTATTCAGGATAAATTTCTGCAAGTGATCTTCCTATACTAAGGAATATAAAATGTTTAAGGCTTCTCAAGTCATATAAAAATTTTTCCCCCAGAACAGTCCAGGAGATTTATAGTCTGGGTGTATTTTCAGTCCTATATGGTTACCTAAAGGAAAGTGAATGGGAGAATTCAGTAACATTCTGATGGGTAGAACAACAACCCAGAGACTGTTAGAGCAGAAAGGAACACCAGGGATCATCTAGGTCTCCTTATCTCTTTATTAAGATTGGAAGGATTAAGGGACATGCCCAAGTCACACAGTAGAGTCAGAGTAAGGATGAGATCTGCACTCTGCTATGTACTGAGTTCAAGTCTCTTGGCTTGGATGACCAAGGGTATGTGAGATGGCCATCCAGTGTCCCAGCTAGCGATGTCAGAGAATTTCAGTGTTTGGATCAGCTTCACAGTATCCCCTGAACTTTCACAGTTGTATCAGAGGGGTATGGAAGTAATCCCAAAGGATCTGCCCTGACCTAGAGGCCCAGTACTCACCTAAGATTTTTTAAAAGGCCAGGGAAAGTTCTGAAATTTCTTTTCAGGAATTTCTTAAATCTGACCAAATGTCAGAACTCCAAGGATGATTCTGGACTCTTTTCATTCTTCTGTTGTTGGTATAATACATTGGAACAAAGGGATGCTCACATAATTAAAAACTCATGTAATTCAAGACTGCCTTTTCTGTAGCACTGACCAAAAATTGACGGTATTTCTGCTTATTAGTCAGAGGTGACTCCACTGTGTGGCAATAGTGCAAACAAAGTTTAATATTTGATTTAGTGTGGTGTCTGTCTGGCTAGGTGGACTTAATTGTCTTAAAAGTAAACCTTGAAGTTTCAATAGATTAGCATGATAAAGGATTGTTTTTTGCAAAATCTAAAGCAGGCCTGTTGACAGTCATCTGAGTTGTGGTATGCCATGCTAATATTGACTAGACAGGAGAAGGGAGAGGTAGCAGAGTCACGTAACCTCTTAGTTGACTCAGTCAGAAAGTGACAGGTGCCAGTTGTACTTAAAGCCCTTTAGCCAGAACTAAAAGAATGGTTCCAATCCAGCTGTAGGGGAGACTGGGAAAAGTGTGAGAGGGAACACAGATGTTTGATGAATGCCAATGACTTCTTCCATATAAGCGATGACTGATACTTTGAAATGATCTACTTGAAAAATTTACAGGCGATTTCATAATGTATCAAGTTTTAAACATAAGGATAAAAATTTCAAATTACTTTCCTTAAACATGTTTAATGGGCAGTGTATGGTGATATCAACACTGTAATTTAAGAAATTGCTGGGACCAGCAATTAGCGTAATGGCTATGTCGTTGGATTCCCATGTAGTCTACCATGGTTCGCGTCCTGGACCCGGAGGCTTAAAACTCATGCTGGGCACATGTGTGTGTGTGCCCAAGATCCCAAGAGGAGAATGGAGGAGAAGGGATTGCGGCATGGCCATCCCCCCCTAGGGGGGTGATTTCTTGCTTTCTGTCTCTCTGTATCTCTCTGTCTTTCTGATGAGCACATGCGCCCTGCAGCAAAAATCTCTCCAAAAAAAAAAAAAAAAAAAAAAAAAGGAAGGAGGGAAGA